TGATTTCGGTTTGAATTACCATCCTGGTAAGGCAAACGTTGTTGCGGATGCCTTGAGTAGGAAGTCCTTGCATATGTCGATGTTAATGGTCCGTGAGTTAGATTTGGTTGAGAAGTTCAGAGATTTAAGTTTGGTATGTGAAACTACTCCGAATAGTGTGAAATTGGGTATGTTGAAACTGACTAGTGGTATTCTGGAAGAAAATCGGAATGGACAGAAGTCCGATGTTAGGTTAGTTGATAAATTGACATTGATCAACCAAGATCAAGGAGGCGAGTTCCGGATTGATGAGAATGGTGTTATGAGATTTGGTAATAGGGTGTGTGTTCCGGATGTTGCAGAGATTAGGAAGAGTATTCTGGAAGAAGGACATTGTAGTGGATTGAGTATTCATCCTGGTGCTACTAAAATGTACCATGATTTGAAGAAGTTGTTTTGGTGGCCGGGAATGAAAAAGGAAATTGCTGAGTTTGTGTATGCTTGTTTGGTTTGTCAGAAGTCGAAGATTGAGCATCAGAAACCGTCAGGATTGATGGAACCGTTGTTTGTTCCGGAATGGAAATGGGATGGAATCTCTATGGATTTTGTGTCTGGGTTGCCAAGGACATCGAAGAATTGTGATTCTATCTGGGTTATTGTTGATCGGTTGACGAAATCTGCTCACTTTATTCCGATAAGAATGGATTATCCGATGGAAAGGTTGGCAGAATTGTATGTTGAGAAGATTGTGAGTTTGCACGGTATTCCTTCTAGTATTGTGTCGGATCGAGATCCGAGGTTTACATCTAAATTCTGGACGGGATTGCAAGAAGCTTTGGGTACTAAGTTGCGTTTGAGTTCCGCTTATCATCCACAGACAGATGGTCAGACGGAGAGAACGATTCAGTCGTTGGAAGATTTGTTAAGAGCTTGTGTGTTGGAGAAAGGTGGAGCTTGGGATAGTTATCTACCATTGATTGAGTTTACCTACAACAATAGTTTTCATTCGAGCATTGGTATGGCTCCGTTTGAGGCATTGTATGGTAGGAGGTGTCGGACACCGTTGTGTTGGTATGAATCTGGAGAGAGTGTTGTGATTGGACCGGAAATTGTCCAACAGACTTCGGAAAAGATTAAGATGATTCAGGAGAAGATGAGGACTTCTCAGAGTCGTCAGAAAAGTTATCATGATAAGAGGAGGAAAGATCTTGAGTTTAACGAAGGAGAACATGTTTTTATGCGAGTTACTCCGATGACTGGTATTGGTCGAGCTTTGAAGTCAAAGAAGTTGACTCCACATTTTATTGGTCCGTTTCAGATTACCAAGAGAGTTGGGAAAGTTTCTTATCAGATTGCTTTGCCGCCGTCACTTGCAAATTTGCATGATGTTTTTCATGTATCTCAGCTAAGGAAGTACATTGCTGATCCGTCTCATGAGATTCGTGTAGACGATATACAGGTACGAGAGAATTTGACTGTGGAAGCGGTACTTACGAGAATTGAGGATCGGAAGTTGAAACAGTTGCGAGGCAAGGAGATCGCGTTGGTAAGAGTGGCTTGGGGAGGACCAGCAGATGGAAATGTCACTTGGGAGCTGGAGAGCCAGATGAAGGACTCGTATCCCGAACTATTCGTCTAAGGTATGTTTTCGAGGACGAAAACTCTTTTAGTTGGGGAGAGTTGTGACACCCCAAATTAATTCATGTGTTAAATAATTAGGAATTTAATTATTAAATTAAGTAAAAGCTTAATTAATAATATTTTGGATTAAATGAATGAATTAATTATGGAATTAAAAAGGAAGACCGGGGGGTGTAAAGTTGAATTAGAGGTGTGTGAAGTAAAAAGCTCTATTAAAATAATTACTAATTATTATTATTATTTGGCAAATAATAAAAGGAAAAGAAAAGAAGAATAAAAAGGAAAAGGAAAAGAAGGGTTTTGGAAAAACTCAGTGTACGTGAAATTGGAGAAGAGAAGAGAAGAGAGGAAAAAGCCAAACGTCGTGAATTCGAAGGATCATCGAAAGGTAAGGGGTGATTTCGATTATTTAATATGCCTTATAGATTTTGGGATCAATAGAATTGATTAGGCATGTTAGGAATCCCAATTTAGGATTTATGAAATTCAAACCCCAATCCCATGAAATTATGTTTTGATTCAATTTGAGGTTATGAGGAAATTGTATGATGTTATGGTGTGTTGTAATCTCATTAGAATCATGTACTATAACTTGTTTTGGCAATTCTGTGAGTTGGATTCGTATGGGTATGAATTGGATGGGATTTGGAATGAATAAATGCTGTCAAATAGCAGTTTTTGACTTTTCAGGTCGCATGAACCGGTTCCCAGTGGGGAGGAACCGAGTTCCCAGTGTAAATTTGCGAAGAAATTGACTTTTTCAACTCAGGAATCGGTTCCTGTATAGGTAGGAACCGGGTTCCAGTACATTTTTCAGAATGGGTGTTTTCTGAACTTCGCAGGAACCGGTTCCTGTATATGTAGGAACCGGGTTCTGCTGTAACTTTTTGAAAAAAAATACTAAACTTGAAAATTCATAACTTTCAAACCGTAAGTCCGTTTTGAGTGCCGTTTTGGACGTTATTTCTTAAATTAAATACTCTATCTTATAAAATAAGAAAAATATTATTTTATGAAAAATTATTTTAAAAAGAGTCGAATTTCCGATTTTTGGTAAATCCTGGTATTTTGAGAATGATGTAGAATCGTTGTGAAGTGTTCTGATTTGGTGAATGAGAATTGATACTCATGTGTTGTGCCTGCTATCCATTATGATTGAGATGTGATCCTGTGGTATATTGGTTTTGGCATTATTTGGAATTATGTTGTGATCATATTCCGTTGATTGATATGGCATGTTAGTGATGTACATGCATATGCATTATTTTGGTGAAGTTAATTCCCATTGTGTGGAATTTGACTTGTATTGCCGTTAACCGATACCCGAGAGTGATGGGTGGTTAGGCTGGATTCATGTCCGAGTGTGATGGACGAATCGATGATTGCTTCGGCTGGATTCATGTCCGAGTGTGATGGACGAATCGATGGTTACTGTATCCGAGTGTGATGGATCAGTGATGGTGACTTGGTCACGTGTTGGTACCACATGCATTGTGTATGCATTTATGTTTGCATGGAATTGTAACATGTTAGGATGTCTTCCAGTGTTACAATTCTTTGGTTGATTCTTGAATTGTGCATAATGACTTGTATGATTGTAACTGTGTGTTGAATCTGAATTTATACTAAAATGGGTGAAATAATATGCTTGTGATATAATGTTGATCGAGAAACTTATAATGCATGTTAATTATGAGAAATCTCACCCTTACTTTAATGATTTCAGATTAAAGTTAGCAGCTCAGGAGTTGGTGAGGATGGCTCTAGAGCTATGTTATTTTAGTCTGCGTGTCAGTGCCGTGCTCTGATAGGTTGTAACACTTGGGGAAACGTTTGAATGACGAGTTTTATTTTCTATTGTTTAATTTATGTTGGGAATACTTACGAAGTGAAGTTATTCCGGTTTTGAGATATTTCCGTTGTGTAGAATATGATGTTGATTTAAATATTTATAATAATAATTTCTTCAGTAAAGCATGACAACTGTAAATTTGAGGTTTTATATTTATCTTGAATTGTGACATCCCTGTTTTCCATGTTAATCTGATTTAATTAATATATTCGCGGGTTATTTAGAAGGGGTGTTACAAAACACGTTGCACATATGCGCCATCTCACTTGACGCCTCCATATGAAATTAAAGAGAATGTGCTATCTCACTTGACTCCTCTGTTTAAGTGTTTTCTAAAACATGATTATTTGCATAATTTTCTCTGAAACATGATTATTTGTGTATTTTTTTTCAATGCCTCATTATTACTAAAAAAAATCATATTTTAACAATGATATTTATTTTAAAATATATATTTTAACAATGATAATTATTTGAATCATTATAATTTTCCTGAAATAATTTTGTTGCTCTTAATTATTTCAGATTTGTTTTTATTATGTTTAGAAAGAAATAATTATAGTTTAAAATTAAGTTAAGAGTTAAATCAAAATATAAAAAAAAAAATTATATATCTTAAAATAAATATCATTTAAATAATTATCATTGTCAAAATATATATCTTAAAATAGATATTGTTGTCAAAATATATATCTTAAATAATTATAATTTTTATTATGTATTTAAAAATAAATATCATTCAAATTTAGAATAATTACAAATTAAATTCAAAATAAAATTAAAGTTGGGATATTTAATTAATTTGAATATACATATTCGAAAATCTACTAAAAATAAAATATTAGATTATTTTAGATATACATATCTAAAAACTCCTTTAAAAAAGAAATAGTGAGTTAGACGTTTAACTATAACATTGACAGCCTTTTAAAAAGCCTACGTCTCAAAAATAGATTTATGAACAGATGATAGATGAAAATCAGATCTTAGAAAACTTAGCATTTATATGCAGTGATTATTACTTATATTAAACTACTAGATAATTATATTCTTAGGGACTCTATCTACATTCTGTCTCACAATATAACTTGATTACAAAATATAAAGTTGGAACATGAGTCTTTTTTTATTAGGAATAATGTTATTTCAACATTTAAAATCTGCCATATGTTATTCCGACACTGTATGAAAACATATAATTTTATAACTATTCATATGACTTTCTAATCAATATAACTATTCATATGACTTTCTAATCAATATTTATACAAGGATGCTTGCTGCATAAGGCTCACACCATGGTAGGGTTTGGAGAGAATCAGACATACAAATCCTTGTACCATGAGCATTGTGTCACAGCACTAGCAAATACCAATGGCGGGCACCTCCAATTATTATCGCAGGACATGTATGCAATGTGATGAAAGAGAGTGGAGCAAGGGTTCATCATGAATTCACATCCTTGAAGAACTATATAGAATCCATAATATTAGTAGCTCAATCGAAATACGCATGCGGGTTGAAGATATCAAGAGCGTGACAGAACTCCTTTGGAACTGCACATACCAACCGATGATCATTAAGCGATTAGAGAACATGAAAACCCAACATATGTTGTATGAGCCAAAAGTCAATAAAATCATATTCTCATCATTTCAAAAGCAACATACCTTGGCACAGTTCCGCGGCGACGCGGGTCATATTCAGTTGCTTGTCGAAGAGCCCTTGCAAAAGCTTTGAAAGTTGCTTCGATAATATGATGAGAATTTCTTCCAGCAAGCTGTACTCAAACGAACGAACATATGTTGTATTAATAGGTTTTTAAAATAGTAACAAAACATATAAATTGAAGTTGGAATCTGCATGCAAGGCATCAACAACATACTAAAATTATTCACAATCAACCTGTTAGTTATAGATTGTAGGATTTAATACCTGGCGAATGTGAAGTGTCATACCAGAAGTATTCACTAAAGACTGGAAAAAATGTTCCACCAACTACAAATCACAATAAACAGATGAAGATGAATTATCAGTAATAAAATTTGCAGAACGGAAATATCTTAAATGATAATTTTTCGGTAGAAAAATAAATTTTATCAATGGGAGGAAAAAATGTTCATTGAAGGTTGACAAAGTACTCTCAATGCAAGAGAAAAGAAGAACAAACCTACGAAGGAGGGAATATCAAACACTTCGACATTGATAATATCAATAATATAGGATACCGACACACTACATATATATGATACATATATATGATAGTATTTGATCTTCATTTAATCATTTATTATTAAAAGAGTTAAAAATATTCTAATCAAAATTAATGTCTTTAATTCTATATTGATAACATTGTTTTAATACAACTTTTAACTCTTTTAGATATGTCTGAGATTTGTCCAAAAATTGTATAAGGAATGTTGAAGCAAATAAAAAACTTTTTTTAAACACTTGTCTAGCATTGTCTAACACATGTTATATGAGTATCATGCAGGTGTTGGACATCAATTCAAAATGTGTCTAAGCAAAGAAAACAACTATTTTTGGGACATTCGTCTGACTTTTCCAACACATGTCATACAAGTGTGAGACATTTGATGCGTGTTGAACAACACACGTCTACTCCTAGAAATGTTGTATTTCATTAGAACAAACTAAAAAATCAGACAAGAATTATTATGTAGAGATGCCTAGTCTCTCTGCTAAGAACATTTCTATCCTAAAGTAGAATAAGGTATGTTTAAGTAAACAACTTAACTAAGTGCTTATCATATGTGTTATACATAAGTTATTTCTAGAACAAAAGATGAAATAAAGTCAAACAATTTTTATATAAGCTAAAAGTTGTTTTCATAAGCTATCATTGAGTTTATAAATAAGCTGGGTTTCTCAAACAGTCTTAAATCATCTTCATTAAACAATTTAACTAATTGCTTATCATATGTCCGAAATCATTTTCATAAACTTTCTCAAATAGTCTTATATTAGCAATGTTTTAAAAATCAGACCGGTCATCAAACCATTGAGGATAATGGTCGAACCGTATGATTAAACCGGATAAAACTAGATAACTTGGTTGAATATAGCTGTCCCTATAACAAAACTATATAATTATTAAAATAAGATGACTCGATCTCTAAAAAAAATCAATACACCTAAAAAATAAATATCATAATTTCCCGTGTTGTCAAATTGCGGCCATGGCGGATTGCGGTTGCGGATTTTCAACATAGCGCCATGGAAAAGCCATGGCGTTGCGGATTTTGCATTGCGGCGCCATGGGGGCCGCCATGAAATATTCATGCCAAACAGCTTTAAAGGAAGATTATGTTGAAGTTAGAGAAGAAGATTAGAGATTCAATAATGTTTTATAGTTCGGTTTTATGATGTCTTTTATGAATGAAATATTGAGGTACTTAAGATATGAATTCTAGTTTCCTCCATATATAATTTTGTTATTTGATTTTTTTTAATGAATGTGCTCAAACACACTCCAATTTCGTTCGCAACCAGAGGCATTACGAGTTTGACTCAAAATCCGAACAGTCATTCCTTTTATACATCTTAAATAGGTTATTTGGATTTTGAGTCAAACTTGTAGTACAAAATTGGAGTGTGTTTGAACACATTCATTAAAAAAAAAAAGAAATAGGTTGGAGCATCAAAAACTTAATAATTTCGTCTTTGTTTGTTACAACTTAAGGCTACAAAATAGGTATTACAATTATTATATTCTTTTAATATGTTCAAACTTGATTTATAGTGCATAGTATTTATAGTGCATCTAATTATCTAATAATTTATATAGTGTCTATGTTTTTTTTATCAAACATTAATCTTGGTTTGTTTGTACATAATAAATTTCTCTACATATAGAAATAAGAAGAAATAAAATTATAATCCTATCAATTTTGAAACACTTGGTGAGCATTCAGATTGGGTGTTAGAGAACTCGCCATCTTTCTTAACTATTGAGGAGGTAGAAGCACTACACGATGATCTTGTTAGTATGACATCCAACCTATTTCAAATGATATTGATATGTTGTTAGTTATTGTGATTACAATTTTATTATTTTAATTTATTATTATATGTCAATTGCTAAACTCTTTAAATTAAAGTTATTGTAGATCAATTAAATTTAGATGAGGTTGAGGATGATGCACAACTCACTTAAATGATATCGTTGATGGGGAAGATGTTGCGGTTGATTTTGATGCGGATGCTTTGGATGAAGGAGAGCCCAACATTGAAACAATCTTTCCTCCTTCAAATTAAATTTATTAGACACTCTAATTATTTAATTATTTAGTTTATGTTGCAATTAGATTATGTTGTAATTAGACTTTGTTCAAAACTTATTTGGATTTGTATTTTGTTCTATTTTTTTTTTTGTATGTAATGAGTATGTTTAAATTTTGAATTTAAAGAATAAAGTTGTAAAATTATGAAATTTTCAAATTTTTTAGGTGTTATGATTTTTTTAGAGACCGAGTCATCTGATTCGACCAGCTTAATAGTCATACAATTTTGTTATAGAGACAAGTTTATTCTATCGAGTTATCTGGTTTTATACAATTTAGTCATGTGATTCGACCAATGAACCAGTAATCCAATGGTTCGATGATCGGTCCAGTTTTTAAAACATTGATCCAAACAGACTTTAAAAAGCATGAAGACAAGCAAAAAGATAATTGTGTACCGGTTCCATCCAAATGAAACAAAATCAAGCAAAAATTGCAGAAACATTGAAAATGTTCTTTTGCATCAAAGGTGTGGAAGAGGTAATAAAACCAATTCTAGGCCTCATCATAATAAGTTAAGCTTTTAGGAGCAATAGGTCCTTGACAACATCTAAAGTGAAGTTAAATAGGTAAAACTTAAAATCTATACTTATATAATTCTAAATTAAATGCAGAAATCAAACAGAAAAGCACACTACCTGTGTGTCATATGTCCCAACCCTCTGAGTGGGAATGTCCAAATTATAACTCAGATGTGGTCGACCTGATAAATCCTGAAAAAGAAAAGAGTGAATACTGAATATGCAGTAACGAAGTCACAATATGAGATTTATACAAACAGCAAGCAACAAACCAGTGAAACATGTATCAATGCTTCATCAAGAGGAGCAGAGAAGTCACCAAACCGGTTAATACCCTTCCTATCACCAAGGGCCTGCAGCAGAGCCTGCAGATGTAGTAATAGAAACCTTAGTTTAATGAGATAATACATCAATCATTATGTAATATCTCGAAATTAGGAAAACGAAACAAGTTAATGGTTAAAGTAAAGAAAATAAACAGTTCACATAGTTGTTCCCGGTACCGTTCCAATAGCAAGAGCAACGTCTTCATTTGTGTGATGATCATCGATGTGTACATCACCAGTAGCCTTCACGTGTACATCAAATAGTCCATGTGAAGCAAGTTGCTGAACAAACAATCACAATCAAGTTTAACTTTCTTCATTGAAGAAACTCTATAGTCTATATCCTTTGCAGTTCAAGAAATAGGAAACAAAGTGAAAAACAATATGAAATTTTGTTATAAAAATGAAAACAAGAAAATTCACAAACCTAACCGACCCTAATTATTTAATTTCACATAACAAAACTTATCTGTCTCATATGATCATGACATTATAAAATTGAAGTTTAAAGGTCAATCACAATCACAATGTCCAACCATGATTTCAAATTGTGGTCGCGGTTATACTACGAACATTTACGTTGCGATAAAATACATACAACTGCGGCTGCAATTTCGATTGCAACGAGGTTGAGAAACCCAAAAAAAACATTATATTATGGCGGCAATTGCAGTTACAGGCTGCAATTTAAAACCATAGCATAAACATTTCGAATTGAAGATGTGACTGATGCCGACATGAAAGTGACACCTATGGTTACATACAATCAATTCTATTTTCTCAAATTAGCACCGGTCTCTAGGTGCATGTATCAACATGTGTATGTTTCTAATTTCTATACAATTTGTTAATCTCGATATCTATCTTAATAGTTTCTCTTAGAGCTTTTTTAGGTCTTCCTCTACCTCTAGTTGTTTGACTCCTCTTCATTTGATCTACTCTCCTTACAACAAAATCTATAGCTCTCCTCTCTACATGTCCAAACCACTTAAGTCTATTTAATGGGCGGAATTTGAACCATGTAGTCAACTCCATTTAATAGAATAAAGCTCGGTTGTTGGTTGGTTGATGTATGTGTCTACTCAAAATGATTGAAGTTTGTATTCACCTTCTAAGGATCACAAACAACAACCAAGCATTATTCCATTAAGTATTGTCGGCTTTATGGATCAACTTTCGTCATAATATTCTATTCAGAACCATATTTCTATCAAAATCATTAATCTCGAGATCTCTTCTCATGAACACACGAACAATTCAAAATACAATAATATATTAAATACAAAATCTGTAACAAAAAGGTACAACAAATAATTTGAAATCAAATCACTAACATCTAGCATATGATCAAGAAAGGGAATTCCAGTACTAGAATCAGCAACACCGGAACCATCCAAGTCAATTTTGACAGACACATTAGTCTCCTTAGTGACCCTTTTCACCTCTCCAACTCTAATCCCTAAAAAAAAAAAGCCCCAAATAAGCATTATTAGTCATAAAAACCAAAACACACGTAAGAAGCTATATTATAAATTAGTGAACGTGAAAATTGACCTGAATGAAAAGGCGCAGAAGTTGAAGTTGAACCGTTGTTGTGTTCCAGAAAAGCGTTAGAGGAAAGAGATGTGGGAGGATTCATAGGGGTAGTGAGAGTGAGGTGATTTGGTGAAAAGAATGAAGCTTTGAAAGGTGTGGATTTTATTGGAAAAAGGTTTGTATGAAAAGTGTTAACTTTAGGTTTGAAGAGAAAAGAATGAGATGATGCATACAACTCCATTGTGAGTATGGTGAAGTGAAGTGAACAATCCAAACAAGGCACAACAAAAAAGTGATTGTGTATTTGTTTAAGTGAAAATGTCAAAAAGAAATTACGAAGGGAAAAAAAAATTCGCAAAAAAACAAAAACATGCTACAATCAAATAACAGATATAAAATTTCGCTCAATATCGAGACCACTCAAAATATTAATGCTGGCATGATAAATAAAGAGGGTTTAGCAATTACTACCAAATATAGGATATCATCTTAAGGATGAACACAAAACAAGAAAAGAATTAAATTCTGAAATATTCTCTATCCTTTCATTAAGTCAGAAGTGCTTTAAATATTAGGATCTAAATAATGGGTCAAGCCCACTTGAAAAAATTACAATTAAACATAATAATTAATACCAAACTATTTTAATTGAGAATATAGTGTTGTAGTCGTTTAGGCCTGGTTGAGATTTGTATGGGTCTTCTATCATTACTATCCAGTGTCCTCAAGGTTGGGTGATGAAATAGTGCTTTTAGGATGAAAAAATTGGACTCTCAGTTAGGCCCATAAGAAGCTGAAAGCGCTGGGTTGGAGAATATGGAAGCGGCTCATTTGAGTTTTGAAAAGGGAAGATTATGGCTAGCTGACAGTGGCTTTGGATCGTGTGCGGCAGAGTTTTGGAGTGTGTTTGCGTGCGTAACAGATGGAAGATGTGAAAAGCCAATTTTTGAGAATTTTTTTTCCATATGCCACTCCCACGAAAAAAAAAATTGAAAATGTCAGTCTGAAAATAATTTTTCAGGATGTCACACCTAGGGGGTTCACGCCATTTGAAATGGCGTGAGTGTGAGCAGCAAGGGCTCACGCCAAATCAAATGGCGTGAAAGGCCTTTTTATTTTTTTTCTTCGTTTTCTTACATTTTTGTTATTTATTTTAATTATTTTAATTATTTAATTTTTTTATTAATTACAAATACTTTAATAAATTATTTAGTTATAAAATTAATTAATAAAATGTTAATTTAAAAACTTCAAATAAATATTTAACAATTATAATATAATAATAATAAAAAATTATTAAATAATAAAATATCACAATTACAATCAAAATGCTAAATAAAAAAATACAGTTAAAATTTCACAATTACACTATTTAATGCTGATGACCCGGTCCGAAACGAGTACCGGTAAAACAATAACGCGGTCGCGGAGCATGATGACCAAAACCATATTGTTGTTCGGTCTCTGTTGTTGGAGGATTTTGTTGTGTTGCATCTGATGTTGGAGGATTTCCTTGACTAGGAGCTGTAGCTTGTGGAGGAGACCAAATGCTTTCCAGTAAATCATAATCACTGACGTTAAGATACTCGCCAAAATTATATTGCGGTTGTTGTGGCGGACACATGGTTGGAAAATAAGGCGTTGTAGGGTTATGTTGGGAGGAGGAGGAATCGAAGTTTGGCCGCATGATGGGTGTGAATTGTGTAGTTGGCCTATTATAAATTTGTGGTTGTTGGGATTCATACATGTAATTTATTTGGGAGTGAGATTGTGGGTATTGGGTGTTAAAGGTTTGGTTTTGGTAAAAATAAGGGGCAGAAGTTTGTAGTTGAGAAAAATGAGGGTTAAAAGTTTGTTGTTCAGGATAATGGAGGATGGGTGTTTGATGTTGGAAAAAGTGAGGAGTTTGTTGTTGGAAGGATTGGGGATGAGGAGGTTGAGAATGTTGTGAGTGGTGAGGTTGTTGAGAGCCACTTGCCTGAGTAGGGGCATATTGATTTTGACGAGGGTAAGTGAGAAATTGTTCGTATGATGCATATCTATGTGGAAGCGAGTGATACCATTGCATGTACTCATTTGACGGTTTCTCCTCTGTTTATAATTGATCATAATTGATCTCCATCCAACGTAAACAATTCTCGATGCAACCAACAGTTTTGTTCATCAAAGTATAATATGGTATATGCTTTTTGCCGCGCTTTTATTGTTGTCATCTTATGGTGTTCAGCCGCATCGAGCTTCTTCAGGTATCCCTTGTAAATGACCAAATTGTAGTTTGACCCTATCTGCTTGATGCATTTCTACAATATGAAAACATATTATATACGTAGTTGAACTCCATATCAAACTGTCCTCGTGTCTTTGGGGCGCTAATCCAAGATACGGCCTCCAAATAAACTGAAAAGTTATAGATAAAATTTTTTAGTTTAACCAAAATAAAATTCAAAAATTTATAAGAAGTATTAAAGTGAAGACAAAAAAACCTGATCTTGAAGCATGCGATCAATCCTGAATCAGTATCCTTGTAGATTGTGACGCGGGTTGTTTTGGTAGTCAAGTTTCTTGATGCACCACCTAAAAAGAATTTAAAATTAAATTTTATTTTAAAGTATCCTAACAATTTTAATTATAATTTTAAATTTAAATTAAAATATTACCTTCTTGCGTAAGGATATGGAGCTTGAAGCGGAGCCACCGGAGATATTATAGGCATGCGTGTAAAAGCCCAAGCTTGAAGAAGTAAAACGCATCCTGACATCTCTGTTACTTTTATGTCCACAGACTTGCACATTTCCCTATATAGATGGGCTAAAACGGCGGAAACCCAACTCAATTTTCCACAATCTTCCAAATCCACAACAAATTGTGTCCATTTTGAGTGTATAGTATTACCGCTTTTGTTAGGAAACAAAACTTACCCGATAAGGAGTGAAATATAAATACGAGCATGTTTAATTTTATACTCCTCGGGTGACTCCTCGGTTGGTGGTTCATGTTGGTACATGTCTTTAAGCCATGTCAACCTCACAGTCATTCCGTTATCACTTTGTGGTGGTTCATCCCCTAAAATAGAACTCCATGCACCACCACCTAGCTCGAATGGACCATTTACCGTTTTTCCATCTACAGGAAGCCCCAATAACATACTCACATCTTCCAATGTAATTGTGCATTCACCATTTGGAAGATGAAATGTATGAGTTTCGGGTCTCCACCGTTCCAGTAAGGCTATAATTAACCTTGAATCGGTGTGTGTGGACGCTATTGTAGATACATGGTAGAAACCAGATTGGAGAAGGTAAGGGATTATGATTGCATGTGGCTTTAGAGGTTTGTGAGCACAGATTCTCCATTTTGAAATATAAGTATCATCAATTTGTAATAGAAATAAGTAATATAAAAAAATATTCAACATTTCTATGCAAATTATGAATAAAACTAATATTGTAAACTCAAAAATAAATAATATGAATAATGTTGAATAAATCAAAAATATTTACAGCATTGATATTTTCTACCGTTCCCCTATGTTGTGTACCATACCAAAACATATTGGCCATAATTGTGAAAATGAAGAACTGATTGAAGACTTATCAAAAGAGAGTAGAGAAGACTTATCAAAAGAGAGTAGAGAGTGTGTAGTGTGTTTATGGAAAAATGAGGTGAGAGTGATTGAGTATTTATAGGAAAAATGAGGTGAGTGTGATGATAGTTGGTTGGTAGTTGAATAATTTAATTAATTGTGGTTGATATGTAGTAGAGTAATTTAATTAGAGTTGGTAGGTAGTAGAGTAATTTAATGAAAGTTGGATAAATATAAATTTGTAATTTATTGAGAATATTGTAAATTACACGGTTTTGTACACAATGATAAAACCTCATCGGCTGATCTACTGAATCTGACATACAACTCAAATGGTGTTTTATTAACACCAATTCGAAAATCCTCAAACATGTTAAATACATCTGTATTTGTAACTAATTTTGTAATATGCTGCATCAAGACTCCATTTTTGTTGATTGTAGCCCGGTTGAAAGATATCTCTGTAATACTCCTATTAATATTTGTGACTTAACGTAATTGATTTTTCAAGTGAATTAGTTTAGGTCTTTCCATAAGTCGTACAACTAAAGGATTAGAAAATGCATTTCTATAATCAAACATAATAACCTGTGAATTATACAGAATAATGTATACTGAGCAAAGTATCAGACTCATTTTAATCTGAAAACAGAATCGTTTAATGTTGCATTTATATGCATGGCACGTATGACTTCACGCCAGACTGTTAGGCTTCACGCCATTTGAATTGGCTCAATCCAAGGGTTCACGCCATTTGACTTGGCGCAACTATGGTATTCACTCCATTTAAATTGGCGCATGCAAGGTATTCACGCCATTTAAAATGGCGACTACAAGGGCTCACGCCATTTGAGATGGCGCGAGTGTACACAGACCAAGGCTTCACGCTATTTGACTTGGCGACAGCACAATAAATCCAACAAATTGTTGTTTGTTTATTATATTAATACATGCATGAAATACAATTCAACATAGTTGTATTTTATTCAAACATAGTTGTCTCTTATTCAAACAATTGAATATTACATCAAATACAATGCCACAAAATCATATTTCTTATCTCTTACATTTCAATGGTAATATTTTTACCGACGAAAATATTGGAGTGATATTTCAAAATACGGATACACATATTTTAAATGTTCATCGAAAAAGTGATTTAGCTCACTTGACGGAAAAAATAGAAGAAACTTTACAACAACATGTAACTTCTATTTTTTATCGATTTCGAATAGTTAATCTAGTTGATCACAATGTCACATACAACACTAAAAAAATCGAAGACGATGAAGATGTCCGTTCAATGCTTCAATGCCACTCAAGGTTTTGCAGTCAATAAACAATGGAGTTGTATATTTGTTTTCAACAAATGCATGAAGTATTTCCAACACAATCATCACAAACTCATGCATATCAACAAAGTCAGGTCTCCCAACAAGAAGAGTCTGTCCAAGCACAACATAACGAGCCAATATTTCCGGAAGAGGAAGTGGGTGATGATACTGACTCCGACGATGCCAGACAAATTAATTTGTTTAGTGGGTCCAGTGACGAGTCAGGTGACGATGACAGACTGGAGGCAGAATCGGCTCCTATACTTGATCTATACAACCCACCCTATCACTTAAGAAATGTTTCATTTGAATATGTGGAACCAA